ATAAGCAAAAAAGAAATCCACGATGGCCTCTAATACACCACATTGTCTGTTCCTTCTTATCAAAGATAAAGCACCATGAAAGTTGATTTTGAGCCAATATTCACTTTATGAGTTCTTTCACTATTATTATTACTACTACTACATTAACAAAGCTGATAAAATGAGTATATCTGCAATTTACCTCTAGAATTAGGTTCGTGCTCAATCACCAATTCATGCGCCAGCAAAGTTAACAGAAGTCCCATTTGCAACTAAAACCAAGTTTGTTTCTACTAAAATTAAATATTTACATAGAATTCCTACTTTCTTTATGTATCACGGAAAAAAAAAAATCCATCTTTCCTCAGCTGTTAAAGAAAATTCAGCCAAATCAAATGAATTAGACACCAGGAAAATATTCACGAGGGGAATTTCTAAATAATCGCCATGAAAAAGGTGTTACTGGAAAAAAAAATTCAAATAATGAAAAGGGAAGCAATTACCTGTACTCTTGGAGGAAGCGATCGTCGTCGAGATCATCCTCAAGATCTTCTAACTCTTCCTCTGTTTTACCATCTATCCATGCCTTGTCTTTAGCCTTGGAATCCTTGTCATCGGCGGGGGTGAAAGCCGGTGGCTTGAACGGCGCCGGCTTCGGCGGCAGGTTCCCTAATTTTCTCTGAATGTCGTCCCACTGAGTTGAGGCTCCTTCCACGTCCTTGTACACGAAGTGGTAATCTCCCATCGCCTTCTGATCTGCGGTGGCGTTTTCTCTGAATTCGATCGATCGATCGGTTGGTTCTGGAAAGCAAAAGCGACAAAGGAAAGGCAAAGAGCTAATTGCCGAATAAAGAGCGCGTTTGGCTAAGTCCAAGTAAAAACTCTTATTTAATTACAGGGGAAAATTAGAATAACTTCGAATTCAACTTCCCATAAAATATTCTAAAACAAAAAAAATGGTCAATTGATTCTCCCTCTGTATTTCTGGGTCCAGTGAAAAAGAGACTAATTTTGTTACACCACCACCAAGTACAAAGAAATTAAATAATAAAAACATAAGCAAAAAAGAAATCCACGATGGCCTCTAATACACCACATTGTCTGTTCCTTCTTACCAAAGATAAAGCACCATGAAAGTTGATTTTGAGCCAATATTCACTTTATGAGTTCTTTCACTATTATTATTACTACTACTACAACTACATTAACAAAGCTGATAAAATGAGTATATCTGCAATTTACCTCTAGAATTAGGTTCGTGCTCAATCACCAATTCATGCGCCAGCAAAGTTAACAGAAGTCCCATTTGCAACTAAAACCAAGTTTATTTCTACTAAAATTAAATATTTACATAGAATTCCCACTTTCTTTATGTATCACGGGAAAAAAAATAAAAAAAAAATCCATCTTTCCTCAGCTGTTAAAGAAAATTCAGCCAAATCAAATGAATTAGACACCAGGAAAATATTCACGAGGGGCATTTCTAAATAATCGCCATGAAAAAGGTGTTACTGGAAAAAAAAATTTCAAATAATGAAAAGGGAAGCAATACCTGTACTCTTGGAGGAAGCGATCGTCGTCGAGATCATCCTCAAGATCTTCTAACTCTTCCTCTGTTTTATCATCTATCCATGCCTTGTCTTTAGCCTTGGAATCCTTGTCATCGGCGGGGGTGAAAGCCGGTGGCTTGAACGGCGCCGCCTTCGGCGGCAGGTTCCCTAATTTTCTCTGAATGTCGTCCCACTGAGTTGAGGCTCCTTCCACGTCCTTGTACACGAAGTGGTAATCTCCCATCGCCTTCTGCTCTGCGGTGGCGTTTTCTCTGAATTGGATCGATCGATCGATCGGTTGGTTCTGGAAAGCAAAAGAGAAAAGGAAAGGCAAAGAGCTAATTGCCGAATAAAGAGCGCGTTTGGCTAAGTGCAAGTAAAAACTCCTATTTAATTACAGGGGAAAATTAGACTATTGGTCCCCAGCCTATTAGTGCTGTTACAAGTTAGACCCTAACTTATTGACTCGCGTCCAACATTTCAATTTTGAGGGAAAATTACACTATTGGTCCCCAGCCTATTAGTGTTGTTACAAGTTAGACCCTAACTTATTGACTCGCGTCCAACATTTCAATTTTGAAATACCGTTGATTTCCATTTCATAAAATGAATGGTCCCTCGCCGTCGATAAACCTACCACTGTCGGAGAGTAGAAAATACTTCCATTTGATGAGTCAATTCACACACTAAAATCTATATATGTATGTTTATCTATCCATTTGCGCGTAAATAAGTGCAAAAATGGATATACTGTTCGCACAGATCCAAGCGGACCGTCGGTCCAACGACACCCTTCATTAGTCTGTTAAGATGTTTACTCATACCATAGATACATTTCTGGTTGCTACTCAGCTCACGTGTTGAATGTAATATTCACATAGATACTTATTAATGCTAATGTGCACATGTGGTCCCATAAGTTGTTGTTATAACTGTAATTATTCTCACATGTATTGTATATGAAATTAGTTACAATCCTTACTTGTTTTCCACTCAAAACCTCTGTATATATATATATATATTGTATCAAGCTCGATGTAATTTGTGAATTAATACAATCATTTACAGCTTTGAGCTCCCATAGTCATTTTCAATCTTGCTTCATCAGTTTCTTTACAATTTCAACTTAATATCAGAGCTGTAATGGCTAACACAGGATCTAATGTCAACATACAATCTGCTCAACCTGAATCAAACACGTTGATGCCTTCAATGCTAGGAGGAAATCAGACACAAGTGTTTGGGATAAGTCTTTCTTAAGTACCTCTGGTAAAGCTTGATAGAAATAACTTTCTGTTGTGGAAAAACATGGTTATGCCCATCATTAAGGGTGACAATCTTGAAGGGTTCATCACAGGAACGACGACATGTCCAACTGAATTTCTAGCAACACAAACTAAAGGCCATGTTGGTGTTACAGTTGAAATGATACCAAATACTGAATATGGAAAATGGATACCCACATATCATTATGATGGGTTGGCTTTATTCTTCAATGACTGCTGAGATTGCCATGAGAGTGATGGGATCCACAACCTCTGGAATGTTGTACAGGAGAGTTTTAGGGTGATGAATAAATCTAGAGTTACATTCCTCATAAGTGAACTTCAAAGAACAAGAAATGGCTGATGAGTATTGATCAGTACTTAAACACAATCAAACAACTTGCAGACAATCTAGAAATTATAGGAAAGAGCATCCCTCATAATGATCTTGTTACACAAGTACTTGCTGGACTTGATGAAGAGTATACGTCCATAGTGGTTCAAATCAACAGCAGAGAGTCTATTACTTGGCATGAGTTGCAATCTGTGCTGGTGACCTTTGAAAGTCGAATTGAGCACCTTAATGCTGTGAAAAATAACTTAACCTCAGTTAACTTAAGTCACACCTCAGCAAATTTCGTGCATAAGTCAAATACAAACAGAGAAGGTAGAATTAACTTTGGAGGAAGAAACTATAACAATAGAGGAATTGGAAGTGGCAAGGGCATGTTTACTAGACAAGCTGAAAAAAAAGGGCCATGCAAATCTGTGGTTTAAACAATCATTCAGCTGACAAGTGTTTCAATAGCTATGATGAAAGGTATATGGGTGCAAAACTTGGTTAGCATTTTCAGAACAACTCCTCAAAACCAGCAGCCTTCATAGCCCCATCCAACACTGTTGCAGATTCGTCTTGGTTCATGGATTCAGGAGCCAGCAACCATGTTACTGCTGAGAAGAACATTTCTGAGGCATATGAATATGGTGGTAATGAAAAACTCACTGTTGGTAATGGTAATAAACTACACATTTCACATATTGGTACCAATCACTTAAGCACATTGAGTGACAAATCACTGATTCTTGATAATGTACTGCTAGTGCCCTCTATTAAGAAAAATCTGATAAGTGTGTCTCAATTAACATCAGATAATAATGTATTCATGGAATTTTGCTCTAATTTTTGTGTTGTGAAGGACAAACAAACGAAGAAAGTGTTTCTGGAAGGAAGACTAAGAATGGGCTTTATCAAGTTGAGCTACCAAATCAAGCGAGAAAGTTTACCTATCAACATTCAGTCTATTCCAATAAATTGAATCCCACAACATTTGTTGTTGAGTCCAAAGTGTCCAATGAATCAAAGTTAAGACAGCGGCATATGAGACTTGGACATCCAACAGCTTCTGTGATGTCCCAAGTACTCAAACTTTGTAATGAAAAACTCAATACCAATGAAATCAATCAGTTTTGTAATGCTTGTCAACTTGGTAAATCACATTCTTTGCCTTTCAAATTATATGATTCATATGTTCTTGCTCATCTTGATCTAATTCACTCAAATGTTTGGGGTCCTGCACCCATAATTTCAACTCATGCCTTAGATATTACATCCTCTTTGTTGATGATTACAGTAGACACACATGGATTTATCCAATGAAAAACAAATTAGACGCCCTGAATCTATTAACTCAATTCAAAAACCTAGTTGAAAACAAGTTTGATAGGAAATTCAAAACTCTCCAATCAGATTGGGGAGGTGAATTTAGAGCCTTCACTGACTTAGCTCTCTTGGATTGATATGCGTCTATCTTGCCCTCAAGCCTCAGCTCAAAATGGGAGAGCTGAGAGAAAACAAAGACATATAATAGAAACCGGCTTGACACTGCTTGCTTAAGCAAATATGTCTTTACATTATTGGTGGAAAGCCTTTCATATAGCTACCTTTCTAATCAATAGACTACCCACACCTGTTCTTAAAATGAAAGCACCATATCAAGTCCTAAACAATGAACTAGCATATTATAAGTCACTCAAAACTTTTGGCTATGCCTGCTATCCTTACCTCAGACCATATCAAGAACACAAGTTTAGCTTCCACTCCACAAAGTGTTAGTAACAATTCAAATGTTTACAAGTTCTGAATGTCACAGAAATTGAACTAAATCGGGTGGATATTCGACTTGGTCTGTCTGGTGGGTTATACTTCATGGATGTATCTCCTCAAGCTGTACGACAGTTAAGATATCTTGATTCACAGGTTAACTTTGAACATTATCCTGTTGCATCAGTAAAACTTGATCGTATATTTTTAACAAGAAAAATTATATCTTCCAGGAACCAATATTACGCAATGTGACCGTTGGTGTTTCTCATTTCGAGCGATGTGCCCTTTGGGTCCAAGTTCTGTCCTATCCCTTCTATGGTAGCGGCACTCCTGCAGATTTTGAAGGGAACTATTCAGAAGAGGTTCCACAAATCATGAGACAAAAGAAAAGTCTAAGTCCTGAATTAGGGGAACCAGTTATATTTAAGATGTCAGCCTTACAAAATTCCCCTTACTGAACTATTACCCCACAAAATTTTGCCCATCGAATATTTCTGCCTGTGGCCTAGTTTCCCTACTATAATAGAATGTACTGGTACATATACATACGAAGGAAGTGGTTTTACGGCTAGTATAGGGAGTCTCATTTCCTTAGTGGCCTGAATTTTTTGTCTTCCAAGCCGTTCCATAGAGTGTACTCGCACATCATTCGTACCGTTGCAAGATTTCAGGTTTGTTTACTTCCACTACTAGCCCGGTTCATTTTAGGTAGAAAGATTTTGTTTATCTTCGAAGATGTTTAGGGCTTGTTTGAGCCCTAATTTTTGAAAAAATGAGTTTTGTAATAATGAATTTTTGGAGAATGTGTGGTTAAAAAGTAAAGAAAGTTTTGGGTTTAAGTGAAATTATTATTTTTTTGGAAGAATGTGTGGTTAAAAATGAGTTTGGGGAATGAGTTTTTAAGGAATTGGGCTCAAACGTGCTCGCAAGCCTCATTGAAGATGTACTCATTCTTTAACCGTCTCTTTTTATATGGTTTGTTGATTCAAAGTCACCATCCTCTTTTCATTACGACTTCTTTGTCTTGAAACAACTATGCTATGCTGTGAAAACTTGGTATGGGTGCTTTGTGGGCATGATGATTTTTGGCGCCAGCGAAGTGAGTAGAAACGTGGACCTAGGTGATGAGACAACCACCATGATATGTAAATTTGTGGTTCGGGCTTCTGATGTCTCTATTACAAAGGAGATTGGTTCGGATCTACTGGGGTGGTTGGATGACCTTACCAATGGGAGTGTTGAATACATGCCTGAAGATGAAGTCAAAGCAGCTGCTGCCGAGAAGCTGAGGACCTCAATGGAAAGAATAGCATTGCTGAAGGCAGCAAGACCCTGACCAAAGGCCAACGAAGAGGAGGAGGAAGAAGATGACAAGAAGGAAAATAACGAGGAAGCTGGTAAAACAAAGGGACCTACTACGTTGTTTAAACTAACTCCAGAGGAGATAGAGCATCGGGCGCTTCAAGTAGCTATCCTGCAAGAGTGGCATATGCTATGTAAAGACAGAAACACAAAAGTCAATAGCTGACTCTTATAAACAGTTTTGGTTTTATTAATTTGATTTTCTTGTGTTTTGATATAGTTGGATTTTGGGTAATAGGTGGGTGAAGATTGTTGCAGAGCGCATTCTTGGTATGTAATTTTTTCTGTACTGGTTAAACACTTGATCATACTTTTTTGTTAGCAAACGTGCGATTATTTAACAACTACATGTAATGTCTATTCACCTTTTGTCATAATATGACTTTTGAATAAGATCCTTATATTTTAAATAAGCAAAAAGTTACAAAAAAAATATAAAAGTTCTACAAAAATTGTCACTTGTGAACAAAACATTGAAGAGAAATCGTCATTAGAGTCAAAATGTTCTAATTAATTAAAAGTTAATGAAAAGAATGCGGTGTGAAAAAGGCATAAATATAGAAATGAACAAAGGTTGTAAATTTTATTGCAATGAAAATGTGAAGTCAAAAAAGAAACTGTCAATTGAATTTGAATACCTATATTTATAGGGGGGGAAATTACTTCTGTTGAAATTCAAGCTGGAAGATTCGGCAACTTACCTGGTTCCTTAGATTTATGGATATTTTACCTATTAATTCTTGCTGTAAATAGGTTCCTGATTTTGTGTAAATTAGTTCCTATAATACAAGAACTATTTTCCTTTTATTTCTATAAATCTCGTGTATATATTTGACCAATTATTCTAATAAAAGTGAATCAGGAATTCACCTAAAACAGCTTCATGGTATCAGAGCCGAAATCTCTGAAACCCTAAATCCTTCAGCATGTTTATTCCTGAACCCAGTAAACACGTTCTGTCTTCCTTTTGTCACTTGTGTCCTCTGAATCGTAACCTAAACCTCATTATCTATGGCTGAATCCGTAGAAGTTTCATCAAATAACAATACTTCCTCAATTGTCAATCAAATCTCTCAGACCTCATCTGAACATAATCTGATCCCTATAACCACACACAAACTTAATGGCAAAAATTACCTTCAATGGTCACAATCCATCATGAGGTTCATAAGTGGTAGAGGTCGGGATGATTATCTCACTGGGGAAATCACTCGACCAAGCATCGCTGATCCCAAGTTCAGAACATGGAGAACAGAAAACAACCTTGTGATGTCATGGCTCATCAGTTCCATAACACCTGAAATTGGAGAAAATTTCCTTCTTTACACCACTGCTAAGGACATATGGGAGGCAGCACGTGACACATATTCCAGCAAGGACAATACAGCCGAATTATTTCATGTGGAAAGCATGCTACATGACCTGAAGCAAGAAGAAAATTCTGTAACCACATAGGCATATACTACTCCTCTCTCACACGTCTGTGGCAACAACTAGACCTTTTTGAGGTCTATGAATGACGGTGTCCTGAAGAGAGTGTCAGATTTAAGAGAATAATTGAAACTAAGAGAGTTTTTAAGTTTCTTATGGACCTCAATAAGTAACTCGATGAGGTCAGAGGTCATATTCTTAGCACAAAGCCTCTACCAAGCCTTAAGGAAGCTTTCTCCGAAGTACGGCCGGAGGAAAGCTGCAAGAAAGTCATGCTATCTTCTGATATTTCACCCAATTCGAATGCCTCTGCCTTAATTTCTGCCAAGAGTACTTCTCAAACTGACCAAATGGCGTATGCTACATGGACAAACAATGATAATAGGCCATGGAGAGGAAGGCCTTGGTGTGAATTCTGCAAAAATCCTGGTCATCTCAAAGGAACCTGTTGGAAACTACATGGGAAGCCCCTGGATTAAAAGCCTAACGGTGAGAGGGAAAGCCGAGGCAATATTGTTTCAACCGAGACATCAAAAGCTCCTAGTCCAACTCCATTTACTAAGGACCAACTTGAACTTCTTCAGCAATTAATCCACAAATCAAACCTGGTGAGTACTGTTAGCACAACAAACGGACAGCAAGCCTCATCTTCTTCGGACAATCATGGATTACACGTGGCCCAGAAATCAACTGCAGCATCATGGATAGTGGACTCCGGAGCTTCTGATCACATGACAGATGATGTGACATTATTCACTACTTATAAACCTTGTTCTCAGTCTCATACTGTACGGATAGCCAATGGAACATGCGCACAGGTTGTTGGAAAAGGGACAGTACACTTATCAAAAGATCTGGTTCTAAATTAGTTTTACTTGTTCCTGACGTTGATTGCAATTTAATATCTGTCAATAAGATTAACAAAGATCTAAATTGTGAGGTCAAATTCCTTACTAATTCTTGTATATTTCAGGAATTGGAATCGGGGAGGACGATTGGCAATGCTGAACTATGTGCTGGACTCTACCTTTTCAAAGTTGATCATTCCTCATGCCATCATATTTCAAATTCAAGTTTTAAAGTCCAAGTGTCTAGATGTTATGAGTTAATAAAAGAGTCAAATAAAGATAGTGTTATTATGATTTGGCACTATAGATTAGGTCATCCTAATTTTGTTTACTTAAAACGTTTGTTTCCATCCTTATTTGGCAATAAAAATCCTAAATTTTTCCAATGTGAAACTTGTCAACTCTCTAAGCATACTCGTAGCATCTATACTCCTATCATGTACAAACCATTTCATCCATTCTCTTTAATTCATATTGACATTTGGGGACCCACTAGAATCCCCAATATCACTGGTTCACGAAGGTTCCTTTTGTTTGTTGATGATCACACAAGAATAAGTTGGACTTTTCTCATGAAAGACAAAAATGAAACAAATCAAATCTTCAAGAATTTCCATATGATGGTCCAAAATCAATTCAGAATTTCTAATAAAGTACTCAAAACTGATAATACCAAAGAATTCTTTAACTCCATACTCGGAACATACGTCCAACAGCATGGTATTGTTCACTTGAGTTCATGTGTTGACACACCACAACAAAATGGTGTTGCCGAACACAAAAATAGGCACTTGCTTGAAATTGCACGTTCTCTATTAATATCTTCTAATATGCCTAAGAAATTTTGGGGGGATGCCATTCTTACTGCTACATATCTTATCAATAGGATGCCTTCTAGAATCCTAAAATTCAAAACCCCAATACAAAGCTTTCAAAAACTCTTTCCAATTTCACACTTAGTATCCAAAATTCCCCTTAAAATATTTGGGTGTACTGCATTTGTTCACATTCATTCACACAATCGGACAAAACTTGATCCTAAAGCTATCAAATGTATCTTCTTAGGGTACTCCACAAATAAGAAAGGGTACAAATGTTCTTGTCCACAAACCAGGAAATTTTTTCATTCTATGGATGCCCCATTCTTTGAAAACAAGTTCTATTTTCCACTTTTTCAACTCAGGTGGAGAAAGATGATTGTGAGTTGCAAAAATGGGATTGGCCTCATATTCTAGAAACTACTCAAGTTACTATTGGTTCTGAATTTGTAAATCAGTACTTTCCTAACTTCAAGCAAGCATCTCCTGAACCTGAATCAGGACCTCAATCAAACAAAAATCAGATCTTGTTTTCATCACAAGACCCTACTCCTAATCCTATAGAACCAATCCCTCACAGTAGTCCAACCAAAGAAATCAAAGTCTATACTAGAAGGAAAAAGGTAGACTAGCCAACACAAGTTCAGCACAACTAAGAGAACTCCTTACATTCTAATCCTGAAATTATACTTGAAAACCCGAGTCAAGAACCAGATTTGGAACTCAAAGAGTTTGCGATTGAGGAATCAGAGTTAGACAAGCCAATTGCTCATAGAAAAGGTGTACGTTCATGTACCCAACATCCCATTCAGAACTACCTATCCTATTCAAATCCGTCAGAAGGTTTCCACGATTTTGTTACTGGTCTTGATCATATTCAGATTCCAAAAATCATTGAGGAAGCCTTTTCTAGTCCAAAATGGAAAGCTGCAGCGTTGGACGAGATTCAAGCTCTTGAAAAATAAAACTTGGACCATTACCACCTTACCTCCAGGGAAGAAAAGAGTTGGCTGCAAATGGATCTTTTCAGTTAAACAAAAGGCAGATGCAAGTGTTGAAAGATTCAAGGCTCGATTGGTAGCTAAAGGTTTCACTCAAGCCTATGGGATCGATTATCACGAAACTTTTGCTCATGCTACTAAACTTAACACAGTTCGAGTGTTATTATTAGTGGCAGTGAACTTAGATTGGCCACTATATCAACTAGATGTGAAGAATGCTTTTTTGAACGGAGATCTCATGGAGGAAGTTTACATGGATATTCTTCCAAGCTTTAGAGGTAATCACTCAATGGACAAGGTATGTAGACTCCATAAATCCCTTTACGGTCTCAAACAATCTCCCCGAGCTTGGTTTGAGAGATTTACTAAAGTACGTAAACACGATGGATATTCACAATGTCAAGCAGATCACACCCTATTTGTCAAACATGCTAGTAATGACAAACTTACAATACTTATTGTTTATGTGGAAGATATCGTGCTGACTGAAAATCATGAAGAAGAAATGAAACACCTCAAAAGCTTACTATCTCAAGAGTTCGAAATCAAAGACTTGGGACAACTTAGATACTTCCTAGGGATGGAAGTTGCTCGATCACGGAAAGGATTGTTTGTGTCTCAACGAAAATATGTCATAGACCTTCTAAAAGAAACCGGGATGCTTGGGTGCAAACCAATGGAAACACCAATGGATCCTAATACTAAGTTGAAGGCGAATGATGGAGGCTCAACCATAGATAAAAAGAAAATATCATCACTTTGTGGGAAAATTAATATACCTCACACATACACGGCTGGACATAAGCTTTGCTGTGAGTGTGGTAAGTCAGTTTCTAAGTAATCCCTCAACAGAACACTTGGAAGCTGTGTTTCGGA